CGGAAACAGATCCAAGCTAGGTGTAAAGCTCTTAATTCCTTCAAGAGCTCCCCACATACGGCGCCAAATGATGGGTTTCTTCTCAGATCTGGAACGGTCCAATGACAGTATATGAGAGAGATGATGAGAGCTGCTATCAGAGCAGCAGCAGTAATGAAAAGGATATGGAATGAATGGGAGTTAGGGTTTTGGGATTACTTCAGTCCTTTATCTAGGAGTACAACATTTTCCTGAAGTCCCCAAAGTGCCCCGGCCGACTTAATGGAAATGTCCAGAATACCCCGGTCGGTTCATATTCTGTCTACTTCTTAGTCAGCATCTAGATCCTTCCTTAACTTCCTTCTTATCCTTAACTCTTCTTCAATATGCTGAGGTGTCTAAGCTATCGAGGACCATGAACTGCGAAACTCTTTCAGTCGACCTGAGATATTGGGTCGAGTCGATTGGGTCGCATTCAACCGTTAGTAGATCCTAATACGTCTGACCGTTATCTTGTCGGAGGTCGACTCATCCTAGTCGACATATGCTAGTCGATTCGGTCGGTGGCCGGGATCCTTGACTGAGTATCGTGGAACCTTACTAGCGGAGTCGACTTTGTCTAAGTCGACTTGGTGGTCTCGAACCGTGATGGTATGAACCGCTATGAGCCAATGTGGCTATATCATTAGGGCAAGGAGATTTGGGGATCTTTTTCAAGGAGAGAGAAGAGGGTTTCCATCTTTATCCCAACTTAACTCAACTAAAAAAAAAAAAAAACAAAAATTTCTCATTCTCTCCCTTTTCTCCATTTTTTCCTAGTTGTTTGCCCTTCTTTTTTTTTTTCTCCTTTTCGACCCTTTTTATTTTTTGGTTCTCGGTTTTTTGTCTCGTTTTAGTCGTCCAGTTTGCCAGCCGCTGCCTCTAGCAACTTTTTGCTTTTCAAGCTTTTTAGTTTAATTTTTTTTTTCTTCTTCTCTTCAGTTTCAATTTTACGGCAACGTTCTTTTTCCCGCGACCTTGCTCGGCCATGGAGATGTCTCAGTCTCAAGCTAAAAAAGGAGGAAATTTCCCGTCGAAGGTTGTATCAGATCCGACAGGTGCCTGTGTCCCTACGACTTCAGACCAAAGTTGGATGCTCGCGCCACCGTCGCGCTTGCAGCCCGTAGCCTAGCCGACTCGACCCTCTTTCCAGAGCTAGAGTTTTCTTGTCTGGCTCCGACAAGTCTTCTTCCATGGGCGAATGTCTCGCCAGTAGAGCCGTTCGCCACCTCCTACTGCCGGATTGCAGCCACCAAACGCTAATTGAGACCTTCGTGTTTGAGCCAAATTTTGGCATCCGGACACAACTTTCGACTGGTCGAATGCCTTGGACTCCAGCGTTGCAAGTTTGGCTTCAGAAAGCACTGGTCAACTGGTGATCGATGCAGTTGCTCTCTCGCCGGCCTTTTCTCTGATCTTCGACGGGGAACCCTACAATGGTGTCTGAGATCTCATTGGCCAATGGATTTTATTTAGATCGTGATGCCCGTGTGGAGAGGGGAAACCTTATCATTCTTGGCGATGCGACACTCTCCCAGCCGTTGGTTTTAGCTGATTGGCCTTTGGGCCGTGATCTTGGGCGAGCTGCATTGGGCCACTCTGTTTCTTCAGGCCCCATTTAGTCTGGGCCGCTAATGGGCCATCTTCCAGAGCCCACTTTCCACCCCACGGCCCATCATAAATCCCAACCCTCACCTTCTCAGCCCCTAGCCCATTTCTGCAGTCCAGGCCCTCTTTGGGCTACCTCAGATCACGCCAACCCATTCCTTTCCTAAGCCCAGCCCACCCAACCTAGCATTATTTTCCAACCCCGACCCATTTTCCCCAGCCCATCTCCAGGACAACAGGCCCCTTGGCCACCCATCATGCTGCAACCCTCTTGTCTCCGCCGGCCACCACCACTGCAGCAGCGTCGGCGTGTTAGGGTATACTGTAAAAGCTAGACTTTCAGTTTCTGATAATAGCATTTTGAATGACAATTATGTTTTGGTCAAGTATATGCCTTTTCAGTTTATTTATTTATGTGAGCATAAGTTCCTTTATTTCACATTGTAGATAATATGTTCGAATGTGTCGAACATAAAGATCATACTATCAATTCCTGCTAAAATATAAACAACTAATTCACATTCTAGACAGAATTGAACAACCTGTTGGTAAAAGACTATAGTATAATTTTGATTCAGTTGATCTTTGTCTGAAGAATTACACAAGTACTTTGTAAGTATTGAATGGACCACAGAGGAGAAGATTATTTGAGACTGACCGAGTAAATAATCTAGACACTAGTAATTAATGTGTTTTCTTAAGCCGTAAGATAATAAACGAGCATATGTACTTGCAACTTATTTATTTGATTTACCAAGGGTGATTCCTTTTTTTTGTTAGGATGACATACTCGATATTTTGGTAAATAATGATATTTATATGACGTGTTGTTAAAATTATTTGTCTCAGGTTGATGACGTCTCGGAAATTAGCTCAGGAAGGTATATTATGTTAAGCTTTGTCAATTAAATTCCAACATAATAATTAAAAACTGAGTGGTACTAATTTTGGATCCGAGAGATAAAAGAAATTGATTGGTTATATTGTCAATAATTAAATAAACCAATGGACGTTATATCTTAAACATATAGAGGTAAATTATTCAATTAAATTAATTATAATTAATTAATAACGTAGGGGCAAATTTAGTAAGTAAATTGGATTTAAATGGGAGATCAATGATGCTACTCTAGTGTAATGTTTTATTATTTATTCAAACAGGAGAATTATCTTCGAGAATTTTACTAAGTAGGAGAATTTAAATATTTATTGAATATTACCAAGGTTTGAAGAAATGGAATTTTCTAGAAGAGAAATTAAGTTGGAAAGGATTAGAACTTCTAGAAGGGAAAGGGACTGGAAGATGTTAGGTTTCTTAACCTTATTTGATGAAGCTCATATTTAGCACCTCTTTAAGGTCTTTAATGTAGCTTATAAATACACCAAGTCCCAACACGTCCATATACACGTGAGAGATCTGATTTTTAGTCTTGAAAAGGAGAAAAAAATTGTGTCTTGCAAATATAGAGAGTACAAGAGTTTTGTTTAGTCGCATCACCAAGGCTGTTCGAAGTAGGAGTATAAGGTCATACATTAGAAGATCATAACATAAATTATTTTCGAGATGCCGACAAATACATTATCACCGTAAAAACATTATGGCGAATAATCAAATCATCGGAAGCCACAGTGAACCATCTCGACCAGCCGCAGCAGCCCAGGCGACCGTCGAGACCAGCCGCAGCAGCCCAGGTGACACCCAGGGTCCAGCCGCGACGCATGTGCACACCTGATGTGACGCCCGTGTAGCCATGCAACGTCGCGAAAACCAGACACCGACCCGTTCGAGAATCCCGCACGCAGCGACGCTCCAGCTCTCAGGCGACACGCACAACCTGCGAAGTTCTTGGCCCTCGATGCACAGACTCGCAACGACCTCGTTTAGCGCCCAACAGATGACACACGCACCAACACGTAGACGCCCGCCCGCAGCTCCTGACGTGCACACTAGCATGTAGGACCTAACGCACGCAAGACGTAGGCATAATCCAACATTTGAACGAGACGCAGACAACGACCCGACGCGTCACATACACACCCGGACAACGCCCGACGCACATCAATCTCCGGTGACCCGATCGCGACTTGACCACATCCCTGTGACTCGTGGTCAACTGAATAGGCCTATTTCAGATGCCCAATGCGGTTCAGACGGTTTTTTTTAGAGAAAATCTACACCATCTCAGAGTCGGCAAACATTTTAAACGGTGAAGTCATAATTCTAACTATAGATTCCACTTTGCTACGATTTAATTCCTTAGATTTGGATGTGCATATCGATGACGTTTCTAATAGAACCCAATAACTAGTATTACCAAAGTCTTATTTCATTATTTTTCACAATTCAAAATTAGGACATACGTGCATACGTGGATTATTTGTGTACGGGCGCAACGCATAGTAGATAAGAATTGCAAATAAGTTGTTTACAGCTGATTTCAATTCTGACTATCGTGGCCCAAATGTATGTTATCAATTCATGTATATTTTTTAACCCTCGAACATGTCGAGGATCTTTGGGTTGGTGAATGCTTGTGATAAATTATTCGCGCAGTGAGACACCACATAGTTTAATTTCTTTACTACAACATTCTTTTACAACTCCTG